GCGACCCTGTATAGAGTTTCCAAGGAGCAGCTGGTGAAGGATGCAAGGCTGGATCAGTATGCAGAAAGGCCATGCAACCTAGCATCTCAACAGGCTAAAGAAGAAAACCAACAAAAACCACATGACTCCTGGTATGGCATGGTAGGATCAGCACTGGACTGCGAACCACAAGGTCCTCAGTTCAGATCAACCAGCCGCTCCTTGGAAACCCTATACGGAGTCGCAGTGAGTTGAAACTGATTCAACAGCACTTAACAACAACAACATTCAGACAAATTATTTAAATTTAAAATATTTAGTTTGAACACAGGTAAATCTGTGTCACACCAAACCCTGTGCTTTGTCTGTAAGACGACATTTGGGTGTGTTGGAAATTACTAAACAGCAAAGCAAGGACTTCAAAAGGTTCTGGAAAACTTCCATTATTCCCCCAACTTTTTGAAGCCCGCTCCCTCTTGTAGTAGTGGTGATGGTAGTGTACCTTGGAGTCGGTTCTGACTCACAGTGACCCTGCATAGGGTTTCTGAGGCTGTAAATCTTTACAGGAGCAGAAAGCCTCACCTTTCTCCGGTGGAATGACTCTAATTTCTAACTGTTGACTAGTCCCCTCATATAGAGGATCCTGAGCAGCTGGGCAGAATGTGCCAAGGAGGAAGTGGGGGCTGTTGCTCAGGAAGCAGGAAGTGGATTTGTCTCCTGATGTTCCAGATGTTTAGGGCAGGAGCCATATACGCAGGCAGGAGCTCCAACATGTTACTGCAGAAATCCCATTATCTTTTCTTTCCATCTCCCAGACTTTTAGAAGGTCCCCAAAATCCCATCATCTTTTCTTTCCATTTCCCAGACTTTTTGAAGGTCTTTCATATGCATCCTTTCTCTATGACTTTGGAACTTTTCTCTAATTGAGTACCCTCTGTTACCTGAGCAGGTCTTCTGCTTGATTGCCAGAGTTTTTGTTTGCTGTTCTTTTGTGGGGTGGGAGGCGGTAAAAAAGTCCATAAGGAATGTCCTCAGGAAAAAGTTTTCGTTAATATTTTTTATCATTTGCCTGTTGGAGCAGTGTACTGGGGACAGGGGCTCTGACTAATCTGGGTTTTATTTCCACCTCTGCCTCCGACCTCCTGAGTAACTAAACTTTTCTCAGCTTCGGCTTCTGTGTTTTGTAAAATGCTGGTGGGGGTGGTATGATTGAGCAGCCAATCAGGCAGAGATTAGCAAAGAACTGTGGTCTCTCTAAAGGAGCCCTGGTGGCACAGTGGTTAACTGCAGGATTGCTGACTGCAAGGTCAATGGTTCAATCCCACCAGCTACTCCACAGAAGAAAGATGAAGCAGTTGCTTCCCTAAAGATTTATTGCCTTGGAAACCCCATGTAGGTACTATGTTAAAATGGTTAAACAGGCCTGTAGGGTCACTGTGAGTCAGTGGATCTGACAAGGTTCTGGTAGTCTCTACAAAGCACCTTACAAATGAACAAAAACCAATGGTGTCACTTTGCTGGTTTTCTCTCAATAGTAGAAAAGAGTTGTGTCATGAGAAGGAAGGGTGGGTGGTGGTGGTTATGTGCTGTGGAGTCGGTTCCGATTCATAGTGACTTGTACAGGATTTCCAAGGCTGTAAATTTTTGCAGGAGCAGATAGCCTCATCTTTCTTCCACGGAACGGCTGGGAGGCTTGAACCACTGACCTCTGGTTCACAGTTCAGTGCTTATCCTTGGAGCCACTGTATTCTCAGTGAGAAGGGTTGCTGTTGTCAAGTGGTATTGAATCAGTTCTCTAAGCAACCCTATATGGATGGGGCTTCCAAGGAGCAGCTGGTGGGTTTGAACCACCAACCTTATGTTTAACAATCCATTGCTTATCCAACAGCGCCACACAAATACCTCGTGGCATATTAATTGGGCTTTTTATATAGTTATTACAAAAAACTGTGAGGAAGAAGCTTTTGAACATGATTATCACATCATAGGGATTGGAGATCAAACTCTGCTTTAGGACTTTAACCTTGTTAAAGGACTGAAAGCAGATGTGGGTTCTACAGCCTCTTTATACAGTGAAGCTGTTAGCCATATGAGAAACATGGCTTGGTCATTCTGGTAATCCTTCATACTGGTAGAAGTCAGACTCCAGGACCATTACAACAATGCCATGTGTCTTCTGCTGAAGCATCTAGCAGAGGGGGCAGGCAGAGGGGGTGCTTTGTTTTTAAGAAGATGGCTAGCCTTCACTTTCCGAGACCATTATACTCAGAAGTCTGGTGTAATCCAGTCGTTTGCTTTTTGACCATTAACTAACATGATGATGAAGTTTGACTTTGTTTAGTTCATAACGTCTGTGGGCAGCAGCCCAGGTAATTTTAAGTTGGTTTCCTTCCCTAGAGGGTGGGATGCACGGCTTCCGCCCACCTTGACCTTAAGCACAGGCAGGTCTCAAAAAGATGAGAGGACATGACTTTCTGAAGTCTGTGTCTCCCTCCCCTTCATTCAGATGCCACCAGGGCTTCCTAAGTCCCTTTACAACTTTCTAGATGAACGTTCTCTTGTCAGTATGTTTTAGTTTTTTCCCTCCTTTCAAAAACTGATTCCCTCTTTTGTTCTCTCTCAAAATGTGTAAACATTCATGAATTCGCTCTCCTCTCTCCTCCTCCTTTCGTTTTTTTAATTATGTCTGGTATGGCTCTATAGGATAAGCACTGGATTGCCAGCCTCAAAGTCAGTGGTACAAACCCACCAGGCACTCCTTGGAAACCCCATACCAGATTGTTATGGGTCAGAGCTGACTCGATGGCACTTCACAGCAGCGTACGTACATAAGGAGACTTGGTAGCACACTGTAGGACAAGCTCTGAACTGCTTACATAAAGGTTGGCAGTTCAAGCCTACCAGCTGCTCCGTAGGAAAAAAGATGAGACTTTCTGTTTTCATAAAGGTTTACAATCTTGAGAACCCTATATAGGGTTGTGATGAGGGGAAATCAACTTGAGACCAATGGGTTATACTTACATATTTGTCAGAGTATTGATTTTAATGAGATTGTCAGGTGGTTTCTCAGTCTGCCCTGGTCCATGGTATTTTAGGGATGTGTAAGAATCATTCTCTATAGGAGAAATTCTTCATAGATTCAAACAGGTGGTACAAATGGGCCCTACAGAACCAGAGTCACACAAGTGCTTTCAAGAACTATGTGCTTGAAGCTGGCTTACTTCCTAGTTCAAACCCTTTCAGAAACTGCCTCAGTGACCGTACCTTCTGCTCTGTACTGTCATTTCCCATGGTATTTATGGTTTGTACTGCCTTCTCTGACTTCCTTTTATTTATTTATTTTTTAAATGTCAATGGAATCTGTGTTTCTTTAATGGAAAATGTTCTATTTTGGGGAAGTTGCTTTTCCTCACATCAGTAGAAGCTGTGTGGCGTGGGGGTGGTGGTGTTGGTAGGGCAGGGTTTGGGGAGGTACAAGATCAGTGGGTGGATCGTTGGGAAGGACAGCCCCGGCGAGGACTCTGGAACACAAAACCTTCTTTTTACCTAAGATTGAAAATAAATGTCTACCTGATATTTTAGGTGCTTTCATTTTAAGGAGGATTTTTTTTTTTTTTCCCAAACAAAATATGGCAGATTAGTTCTGTATCTCATGTTCAAGTCTGAGACGAGTTCACTAGTGGGGTAGATCTGGGCAGGCAGGTTGGACCTGTGACTGTGTACATAGGCGGTGAGTCCTCTTTACTGGCGGGGTAGATCTGGGCAGGCGGGTTGGACCTGTGACCATATATACAGGAGGTGAGTCCTCTTTACTGGCACTCCAAGTGACCACGCCACAGCCCTGCTGCACCATCCTTCCCTTTCTTGGGGACTGTTAGGAACCTGGTCCCAGCAAGGCCTGCGTTTCAGCTCTCAAGCTCTGCATTCCATGCTTACTGTGGTTACAATGGCTATAGAAGAAGCACACCGTTTTTAACTATTGTAGTTATTTTGGGTATAAAACCACACTGTAGATTTATCCATTGTTCAGTTGTTCAGTCTGTCATCTGGAAACTTTTCCTTTCATGTAAATTTTATTGAAGTATAGTATAAATAGCTTATTGCTGTCAAGTTCTGACTCATAGCGACACTAAAGGGGACAGTAGGACTGCCCCATCAGGTACCCAAGACGGTAAAGCTTTACACAAGCAGATTTCCTCATCTTTCTCCCACCGAGCAGCTGGTGGTTTGAACTGCCATCCTTTTGATAAGCAACCAGGTGCTTAACCATGTCATCACCAGAAAAGTGCTCATATCATAAATGCACTACTTGATAGATTCTTTCAATGATAAATACTCTTTAGTAACCAGCTCCCAGATCAAGACACAATATTCCAGAAGCCCCTCCTCACCTGCCACCCTGGGTAGCTCTGTCTGTGCACTTTCCGGAAGTGTCTGATTGCTTTCACTCAGCATGTACGTGTGAAATTCGTCCTGTTGTGGCATGTAGTTGGAACTCTTCATTCTCGTGACTTCATTCTGTCATCTTAATTCAGAGAGAGCAGTCTCTTACAGTTGTGAATGCATGTCACGGAGAAATGGTTTAAATTTTCTAACTACACTATGTGATTTAGTCACTATGTGATTTAGGCACTTAATTGTTTTATTACTATAAAAAAGGGCCCTCTCATTTAAAAATAGACATTTGTTTTCTCTTCCTAAGTCAGAATGTTCGCTTTCTCTAATCATTCCCTTTCACTCCCCAACAGCTGTAGATTTCATCACTTCCTCGCACCTCTGTGCTGTTACACTTGATTTATATCATCTTTATATTCATCACCTACAAGTGGCTGCTTGGGTGCATTGTCATGGCACTGTGGCAGGGGTCCGTGTATACCTGCTTCATTTTAATTCCTGTTTCTGAGCCCAGTGTCTGGTCTGTGATCCCTTCTGTCAGTCAGGGAATAGGAGTAGGCTTGTCGAGGCTTCTGAACTCCAGCTTTACTTCATCCGGGCCTTGTTGTTGCATTTTGTCATTGTAGCCTGAGATTCCTGAATGCATCCGCGAACAAACTGGAAACTCTTCCCCCAGCCACGCTTTCCGAGGAGACGAGCAGCATCTTACAAGAGCTGTATCTTACCAACAACAACCTCACGGATAAGTGTGTGCCCTTGTTAACAGGGCATCCCCATCTGAAGATCCTCCACATGGCCTATAACCGACTTCAGAGTTTCCCAGCAAGGTAAAGTGATGTGTCTCATTGCAGTGCTGAAAACATATTTACAGATGCAGAGAGGAGAGGAGAAAGCAAAGATGTTTATTTCTTAGAGAATATGGCTCGTCTTCCTCCTCATTTCTGTTCATAGTTGTCTTTTATACGCCATGATCCACATTACTCTACAGAGAAATGGGTTTGTACTAATATGACTATATTCAAAAACCCACTAGACTGGGCTTATGATAGTCTCCAAATAAAAAACCTTGAAATAAAGAGTGTTATTTCATGAGGATATATATTTTTCTGGTTTTTCTTTTTAAGCATCAGTTAATGTTTGAAGAAGGACCAGTTTTGTATGTGGGAATTGGGATGTAAAATAGGAACTTGAAGGTTTGTAATCACCACCCAGCTTTTGCATGCATGCACAGTGTTTGGAAACAGTGGTGGCATATGTAACCAAAAACACCAAGTGGCTTTAGGAGGTATGTTTGAATCCCAGTGCCATTCTTATTCCTACCTTTGGCAGCATTGGCACTGTGTCCAGCTCTGATTGACTCCACACACTGAAGGTTTGTCCATTTCTACCTCACAGGGTAGCAGCTAGAACACACAGCCATCCGTCAAAGCACATGCGATCCTCTGGTGGGACGCTGGAATGTGTGGCTCCGAAATGGGGCGGGTGGGGGCACTGGCCCTGAGGGGACTGAAGCTGTAGAAGCCCTTGCCGAGGGACCCCCTGATGCATTTTCTTATAGTATTGCTCTGGTGTTTGCAGTGCATGTTTATTTTTATTTGATTTTTTTTCTTTTTTAGTTGATGTTAATGTGGTTAAACTATTTTTGTTTCTGCTCATTTGCTTCCATATCCTTTTACTTTACTGTGTGATTAAAAAAAAACCAACCCACCGCCCTTGAGTTTATTCTGACTCATAGCAGCCCTAAATAGGGTTTCCAAGACTGCCAGTCTTCACAGCAGCACACAGCCTCATCTTTTCTCCCTCGAGAAAATATGCTGCTGGTATATTTGAACTGCCAACCTTGAGATTAACAGTCCAAGTTCTAACCCACCAGGCCTCCTAGAATGTGATGTTGTTGTTGTTAAGTGCCATCGAGTTGGTTCTGACCCATAGCGACCCTGTATAGGGTTTCTGAGGAGCAGCTGGTGAGCTTGAACCACCTACCTTGCAGTTCAAACAGCTTTGCTGTCTGGCACACTAACCCACAGCGTCGCCACACCAGGACTCTAGTATGTGATTGTTGTTGTTGTTGTTATGTGCCGTGGAGTAGGTTCCTAGTATGTGAGAGGTATTATTTTTGGAAGAAAACATGCTAACCACATCACAGCAATAGATCAGGAAGGACCTCATCGTCCTACTTCAGATGGTGAATATCTAAATCCTTTAGATGAAATGACTATCCTCTCTCGCTCCAACCCAGTAACCGATGTCTGTTGTCATCACTCCAGTGCAAAGAAGTTTCATGTGCACCTGGTAGAAATCCATCTGGCTAGAATTTCCAGCTCCTTTCAGGGGGCTGGGGTGTCACAGAAGTGAAAGAATCGGCTTCTGAAGGGTTACAACTGTGAGGTGCTTATCTCACTAGCGGTCTAGTTGGGGTAGACATGCAACAAATCACTGAACAAAAGAATCTGCTCCAACAACTAAGTCACTTTTGGAGCCAACTTTCTATACACTTCTTTAAATTTTCCTACTTAGGCCTGATTCCTCTCATTTTACCTTTAAAAAAAAAAATTTTTTTTTTAATGCCTCATTACCCTTTGATTTCACCATGTTACTTTCTGAATATGACGTCAACATATTTAATATCCTTATAAATTCCAGCTCTTGGATGGATTGCATCATAGTCTATATGCAGTATTGTCCTGAGACTGTTGGCTATATATTGTGTTGAAAGATCTAATTTCAAAAGATAAAAAACTTAGTTCTTCATGTATCTGAGGCACATAGTAATTGTCAAGATAAATAATATAATCTTTGTATTTGGGGAGTTGGAAAGAGTCCTTCTTCCTATACGACCAGCAGGAGTAGAGAGTCTATGGGGCATAATTTGAATTCAGGCACTGCCAGACCATCTGGGTGACCTTCCAACATGCCCTTGCCCCACACCACCAGCTCGTCATCATGAATGATGTCAGAGGAGTTTGGGAAGTGGACTTTTCAGAGAAAGCGTATCTTATATGAGTGGTAGCCTCTTCTCCATATCCCTGTGAGTTCAATACAAAGAAGTCATACTCTCAGTTAAGTTCTTTCTGAGCAGGTGTATTGGGTTAATAATACTGGCTTTGGACCCATTTAAGTAGGAATTTCATTGTTGTTCAGACCAAGCTACGTAGAAAAGTGATTGTTGCCAGGGTAACTTTATTTACACACAGATTATTTATGAACATTTATGAACCTGCGTTTTTCCTCTTCTCAGTTGGACGACTTGAGGTGAATAGTTTGTGTTTTGTAGTGGGAAAAGAAGCGTTAATGCTCTTTAATAATGAAGACCAAAGTGTTGCACTTATGATATGGACACAGTATTTTAAAAATATGTTGTTGTTGTTTTTTAAATGACTGTTAAGTGACTCTAAAGAATTGCTGACTATAATAAATTCCCCCTTTGAGTGTCATTATGTATTATTTTCTTTTTAGATTGCCTTTTAATTATTTTATAAGCCCCACCAATGGATTTTCTGTTGTTGTTTTTTGTTTTGTTTTGTTTTGTTTTGTTTTCAGTAAAATGGCAAAATTGGAAGAACTTGAGGAAGTTGACATCAGTGGGAACAAACTGAAAGCCATCCCAACCACCATCATGAACTGCAGGCGAATGCATACAGTAATCGCTCACTCCAATTGCATTGAAGTCTTTCCTGAAGTCATGCAGCTCCCAGAAATCAAGGTGTGTGTCCCCGCTCCACGTGCATGACATGGCCAGTCGGCAAAGGGAGCTGTTCTCCCCACTTCAACGTGTTTGCATTTGCTGGGTGTACTCAGAAAGAGGACTCCCAGGATCCCCCTTCCTAACCACTGGGTACAACACTGAGTCAGCAGAGGGAACAAAACAGCAAGTAGGGAACTGGAGAAATTGTATTCTTGGTTCTGTCCCTAAGTAGCTGTATGACATGAGGCAAGCCGCCTAACTTCTGCATGCCTCCTTCCGCACCTCTTTCCAGGGTGGCTTTCAGGCTCAAAGGATGAGACAAATAGGAAAACAACTTGAAAAAGTTAATAGCACCAAAGCCTTGCTGATTGTCATGAACTTTGTACTTGTAAGAAGGAACTTCATAGTGGCAGACTCAGAGCATACTTGACTCCTCATAAGGAGACAATGTAGATATGCTTACCCATTGTTCACCTCTCCAGTTCTTTCTGATATAAATGCTGTGTGTCGGTGAAAAAATTCTGCAGACATGTGAAAACACTTTAGACAGCATTCTTAATTTCTCACTACAACAAATTTTAGACATTTGCGTGGTTACGTATGTGCCACCTTCTGAGTGTGTGTGTGTGTTTTAAGTCATAAATATCGTGCTTTGAGTTTTCAGAGCAGTGTCATCTCTTGCAGCATGCTGGCACTTTAGAATGAGGACTGTAAACCACAAGGTTGGCAGTTCAAACCCATCAGCTGCTCCTCCAAAACCCCATCCTGGGTCACTATGAGTCAGAATCTATTGAATGACACTTTACAACAACATTATAAGCTTAAAGGAGCCCTGGGTTAAGCTGAATTAAGTACTTAACTCCTAACCATGAGGTTAGTGGTTTGAGACCACAGGCTGCTCCTAGGAGAAAGAAGAGGCATTCTGATTCCGTGGAGATTTACAGCCTCGGAACCGCGATGGAGCCGTTCTCTGTAACACAGGTCACTGTGAGCCGGAGTCCATTGAGCTACAGTTCGTTTATTAGTTACGATCAGCTTCGGAGGGATTTCACGTTTCTTCTGAATAGAGCTTGTGGTAGTGCTCAGGAGCCTGCCTCTTAGACTGAGAGTCGAGTCTCATCTGAAAACATCACCGTGTCCCATTCCCAGAGTGCTTCCCTTACAGGATTGTTGGATTGAAATACTACCGGTAAAGTGTGGGAATCTACCAGCTGCTCCACTTGAGAAAGATGAGGGTTTCTGCTCCGGTGAAGATTTACAGCCTTGGAAACTGTGTGCAGAGTGTCTGTGAGTTGAAACTGACTCCACAGCACACACTGCCCCCGCCCCCGCCCTCCCCCACCCCCTAACTCCCAGCAGCAGCATTAGTGATAAAAGCCCTTGATGTGGGTCACCTGGGATGTGGATTATATGGAGCAACTATTTTGGCTCAACAAAATCCAGGAACTAAATTGTCCTAGGAAATGCCTATCTCCCTCCAGTGCAGGAAAGATGCCGGCAGCTACACTCCCCCTGGTCCCTGAGCTGCCAGAGCTGTATGTCCTTTATGGTGGGTGATTTAACTGGCAAAGAACCCTGGTGGCACAGTGGTGAAGCACTCACTGGCTAACTGAAAGGTAGGTCGGAGGTTCAAAACCACCATCAATTCCACAGGATTAGACAGTCTGCGTCTGTGAAGACTTCTGGCCTTGGAAACCTCTGGGACAGCTCTGTCCTGTCGGGTCACTACAAGTCATTACCGACTTCACGGCAGTGGGTTAGGGGTTTTTGTGTGGGTGTTACACTGGTCTCTGCACCTCTCAGGGTGCACCATGCAGCAGCAGTTCGGGGTCACCCTCCTGTTCGCTCGCCTTCGTTTCTGTGTCTGCCCTTTAGTGCTGTAGTCACTGTAGGGTGGCTGGTTTGGATTGCTTTTTAAAAACAGCCAGTTTAAAATCCCTTCGTGGTGGAGTAGATTCATACTCACAATAGCCCCATAGGATTTCCAAGGCTGTAATCTTTACAGAGGAGTCCTGGTGTGGCATTGCGGATTAACGCACTGGACTGCAAGGTCGGTTTGAACGACAGGTCAGCGGTTCAAGCTCACCTGACACTCCTCAGAAATCCTATACAAGGTCGCTATGAATCGGAACTGACTTGAAGGCACTTAACAACAACAACCATCTTTACAGGAAGCTCTGGTGGTACAGTGGGTTAAGCATGGGGCTGCTAACCTCAAGTTTGGTGATTCAAACCATTCTGCTGGAGGAAGGTGAGGCCATCTGCTCCCATCAAGATTCACAGTCTCAGAAACCATACATAGGGCTGCTCTGAGTTGGCATCAACTCAGTGGTGCAGTGGGCTTCTGGGGAATCCTTACAGAATCAGACTGCCACTTCATTCTCCTGTGAATCGGGTTGATGAGGTCAAACCACTGACCTTTCGGTTAGCTGCATATCACTTGCCTCCGTACTATCAGGACTCCTCAAGTGTAAAATACTGATAAACGTTTACTAGTTTTTGTCAGGCTTTGACTAGATTTTGTACAATTTGCCACTTGTGTGAAAACTCTTCTCTCCTAGACGTGCTAGGAGTCCTGGACTCTGAAACATGGGCCCTCCTGTTCCTGTTTCAGTCCATCCTAGCGTCTCGCTGGGCCCTGCGGATAACTAACTCCTCTTCAGATAGTACTTCCGCTTTCTAAATGATTCCCAGCTCTCCTTCTGTGACTCTCCTTCTGTGACTTTCCTTCGTGGTTCTCCTTCTGTGACTCTCCTTCTGTGACTTTCCTTCGTGG